CGGCCGCGCTCCCTTGCTGCAGCCGGGCTTCTTTGTCCCTATCCCGACGTCTGGAGGGTCCTGGGCGGGAGAGAGTACAGGGTAGTGTTCCCTCTGGCCGGGAGAGGCTGGGGGCAGTGCGAAGCCTCGAGAGAATGCGGAGTGGGGGTGGGGAGATCCTGCAGGGACCAAAGCGCCGGGGTACCATGGGCTCCGCAGACTCCAACCCTCCTTGTACCCCGACCCTGACCCCAGGGGCTCCGGGCCTAGAGGTACGCCGGGGTCGCCCCGCGACTGCGCACCAGCAACGCGGGAAAGCGAGGAGGGGGCTGCGAGAGGCGGGAATTTCGTCTCCACGCGCTTCTCCTGGGACCAGAAGCTGGGACTCGAGACGCGGTTCTGGGAGGAGGTACAGGTGGGGTAAGCTCCCCAGAGGCCGCAGGTTTCAGGGCCCTGTTTTCACTTAGGGTTAAAGGTCAGAGATATAGGTAGGTCCTGGGTTAGGAACAGGGTCGCTGGAGGATAGGGGAGAGGGAGAAGGCTAGTGAGGCCAAGGGGAGGCTTGTATGCCTGAGGGGGCTGTGTCCAGCCCAGGGGTGGGTGGAGCCCGCATCGGCCCTGTGTGGGTTGTAGGGGGCGCTGCTCTCTCTCTTTCTTTCTCTGATACTGGCAATGTTTAATCAATGGGTTGATTACTGCAGCAGAAAGGACTGAGGTTAGATACGAAGAAGAACTTTTAAAGGGTGGTACAGTGATGGAGATTGGAGAGGTTGATTCTTCTTAAAGAATCTCAGGATAGATTAGGCTCAGCAAGTACTATTAGGCTTTGGTTCTCTGGTTCCATCACCTCCTACACTACCCAACTCCCTATACCCACCAGACACACAATTTTCCCCAAGTTAGGGAGTCTCTCCTGCCTGCTTCCCCAGCTCCTTTCCATCTTTTCCTCCAATGATCCATCTCCGGGGGGGCCTTAATGCTGGTCCTCATCCTGGTCATACTCTAAAGCGGCTAATTCAAGGTGGGAATACACTTGTCTAGTTCCACCTGGGATGGAGGCTGTTCCTCCCGTCTGTTTAGGTCTGTTTAGAGCAGAAATGCTGGGGGGTGGGGGACGGCTAGTATATGTGTGTAGCACATCCTGACATAGGGAGGCACTGGTGTTCTAACTCCAGAGGGATATTCCATAGTCAGGAATGACATGTACCTGGAAGGCCAGGCTTGGGGTGAGAGAAGGCTGAGGAGTGATAGCCAGCAGGCCCAGATGAATCAGTATGCCTTCCCCGCAGGCTGCTTCAGAAAGTGAGTTTGAGTTGTCAGCCCTGGGGAACTTTAACTTTGGCTGCTGAGTCACAAGCCTCGGGAAGCCTAGGGGCCAAGCTAGGGGGCTGAAAGGGATGGGGGAGGCAGAAAGAGCCCCTTGATCATAGCAGAAAGAAGAAAATAGTTGAGCGTGGCTTGTGGATCTTGGGGGTTTAGTGAGGATGGGGTCTGAGGAGACGCTGTGGAGTTCAGGACCAGGCCCCCAAGTATTTCCCCTCCCGGACTACTCCCTGTATCCCAGAGCCACTATCTGGGTCCAGATTCTCCAGTCAAGAGAAATGCTTCATCTTTTCATTTGCAGTTTCATGAAAAATGCAAGTGACTAGAGCATGCCCAAATTCCTTTACCATTGTATATTTTCCCCTGCCTTCCTCCTTCTCCATGTCTCTAGCTCATGGGATTTCTAGTAACACTCTGAGATTCAACAATTGAGATTCAGATTCCACTGTCATTTACTGGGACACTCCAATATGCCAAGGTCTGTGCTAGGAATTGCACAGGAAATCTTAGTCAGACCCTGACTTGGAAAAATCGCTACACAAACTATTTGAGCTAAAAGCAAGTCCCTGTTTTATTTAAAACTCTAAAGGCGAAGGATTCCTTCTTAATATCCACCCTCCTTGTCCAGTGGACACTGACAGGCAATTCTCCACCTTTCTGTGTGTCATTTGCCTAAAGGAGGTGAATAAATTTTTTCCATAGGCCAAGTTGCAGAGTGTAAGGTGTGAGTAGTATGGGTTCTGGTAGCATGGTTCTCAAGGTAGTAAACAGAGGTACAGAGCTGTTCCAAAAAATGCAGGAATCTGATGGGAGAGCCTGAGCTGGCCTGCCCCTCCCAGGCTGGCAGTCAAGAATGGTTATTCTCTGGCTTACCTATGGCCATGAGATGTATGTGATGTTTGTTCACTTTTCTAATGACTCTGGAGATGTTCTGTGATTCAGCCACCTGGCTTTGAAGTTGGCCTTTTGCAGCACAGATAGTATTTTTCTTGCTTCTGATGCCAAATTAAATGCACAGCATTTCATCAAAACACAAAAGTCCTGCTTCTATAACTGAATCATCAGTCACTCCCTCACTCCTTGCTGGAGGGAAGGAATTCTGCAGATTTTTCCTTCTTTGGGGCAAGGTGCAATGCTCAATCATTTAGAACCGATGGTGATGATATTCGGACTCTGTGGTGTGTCTTGAGCTGTAGGATTCTAGAACCAGGGTTCAGTATCTAGGAGTTGTAGAGCCCTTGGGTTTACAGTTCTAGAAGTTCTCTTCTCTTACTGACTGAGGGGACGTCAAGAGTTGGCATGGTAGATTCGGAATGCTCCATCCCTCCAAGCTCTGTACAAAAGATGTGTTCCCTTCTAACTGTTCTACTGTTACTCCGTCCCCTCTGTCCATAGAGTTGGGGTATCATGTGTGACTGCAAATAATTAGGACTAAGACTGAGGCATCTGGATCAGGCCAGGTTTCTTTAGCTCTGCAGAGGGCTGTCTGGAGTGTGGGGAATCAGGATAAGAGAAAGTCTTAACCGAGCCAGTCAATATCCTCGCTGGGCATGCTTAGGAAAAGAAGCCTTGAAGGACTGAAGCCACACTTAGGAACTGGAAGCCGAGGGGCTGAAAGTAAGGGTGAGCAGAGCATCCAGCTCTGGATGGCCCAGGTTGTGACACCATCTCATCCCTCCCTTCTCTCTGTTGGGGGCACTGAGCTGTTTTTCTTGCTCCAACGAAGACCCAGGCAGATCACTCTTCTCATCAGTTGCAGGTATAAACAGGGAGAGGGAGGTAGAGGAAAATGAATCTTTCTGGCTTTCTGTCTGCCTCTCCCACATCACCTGAGTCTTGATTGCCCCATTCAGAGGGGCCACATGCTCTGACCAATTAGGCAGAAAGGTATAGTTACCATCTGCCAAAATCATAATACTAATAATTGCTAAATTAATGCCAAAGCTCAGTGAGCTATAACACTTCACATCAGTCTCCGATTTATCCCTGAATCCCCTAATGATGGTGGAACCAGGTGCCCAGTCATAAAGCTTGGTGCGGCCATAATTAGCCCAGCATTGTCTCTCCTCATCACAGCTTTTCCAAGAGCATTAATTCCTTCTCTGTTTGGACTCTGCTAATTATCCCCATTGGTAGTTTGGCCTGGATCTCTGAAAGAAGGAAAGGAGGCAAAGGCTCTCTGCT